TATGCCATCTTAATAAAATAATTTATTATAAAAAATATAGAATCATATAAACATGTAACTAGAAGATTTGTAATAAAATCCATAGAAATAGAAAACCATGGTTGTTTTAGAATAAGTAATAATTAAAAAAGTTTATAACATTAATGATAAGGAATTTTTGATCTTGAATAAATGTTATGTGATTGTACAAAGTCTTTAATTACCTTCTACATTTGAAGCCATCAAAAATCTCTTCATATTAGCACTGAAGTCTTGTTGTATCCAAAATATTTGGTTATTGGAAAATCATGACGAACTTAAAGAATATGTAATTATACTTTGCCTTCTAGAATATATAATTTTCTCTCAAAAAAGAATAGATTATTCTTAAATTCAAACTAGAAGTTTCATGAAACTTCAAAGAATTATTTTTAATATTATAAAAAATAATATTATAAGACATACTTAATTGAACTTATTTAAGAAAGATCAAATCAACAATTAATGTTGATTTCATTCCTCAAAGTTGAAAATTCTTCAGCTTCAAGAAAATCATTTTTTATTAATTAAAAGCTTCATCATATTCTTTAGGTACAAGATAAAAATTTCTAAAAATGATATTTGACAAACCTTGTTTTTTTTGGATCATTAAGTAATCTTCAAATCAAATCTTGATAAAAACATGCTCCAATGGACTTGGCAACAATTCAAAATGTGCATTGATATGAAGTACTTGAAGTTCTTGTGATCCATATATATAATGATTAGATTAAAAGCATCTTTTAGATAATGATACCTTTTTTGAAATTAATCTATGATTATAAGCAATTCTTTGTTGTAGATCTCATAATTAATCTTGGTTGATGAAAATTTCTTAGAATAGAAAGCCACCAAATAGAGCTTATCATCTACTCCTATTTGTGACAACATTAAATCTATAAAAAAGTCTAATGCATTTATTTTTTAATAAAAAAATACCTTATGATGTATTTTAAAAAGTCAACTTGAGTAATATGAAATACACACTTTTTTTTATCTTAGTATATAATCTTGCATCTTTCAATTTTTTATAGCATATAAAAAATACAAATTTCATACTCTTTTGTATTCTTAGAGTAGATTAAAATGTTGTTTAGATAATAAATGACAAAATCATCAAAAAACTCACAAAAAATATCATTCATTACATATTAAAAAGTAGCTTCTATGTTTGTGAGTCCAAAAGACATGATATTATATTTGAAATGCTTATACCTAGTTCAATATATATTCTTCCATTCATCTCTTTCTTTGATGCATAGTAAGTTGTATATTTTCCTCAAAGATCTATTTTTCCATAGATCTTTGATTGATTGAGTTGATCAAAAAGTCTTGAAATCAAAGATAGAAGATACTTATTTTTAATGATGATCTTATTGAGTCATCAATAGTCTACACATATTAACAAAGATTTTTTTTTTTTCTTTTCTTTTCTTTTCTATATAAATAAGATAGGAATTATTATAAATTTAATATGGTATATGAAGTTTTTAACCAAGTTCTTATCAATGTATTCTTTGAGTGTAGCCAATTTATTTTGGAATAAACTATGGATTGGTTTGAATGGTGGTTGAGCTACATCTTAAAGATTAATAGAATAGTCATAAAAACAATGTTTTAAAAGAATATCTTCATTTTTATTCTTGAAAATATTTTCATAATCTTAGTACTGGCTTAGAGTGCCATTTAAAGTCTTTTCCCTATGAAAAGTAGATATGATGTATATAGCAAAAATTGATCCTTTTATTGCATGCATGAAAGCTTTTATACTTAGCAACATGGAATTGATAGTATTGAACTTATGGATTTTTATTTCATTAGTAGGATCTTAGGCTAAATTACAAAAAAATAAATTTTATAAAAAATCCAATCTATTTGAAAATTATATTTTTTTAGCCATGATAATTCAAAAATATTTAGGTTATATAAATATCTAATGATATTGAATATTTCTAAGCTATTATAATCTTTAGTTGCTACACCTAAATAATAAATTTCATGAGTAATGTTTATAGAGGACAATAAACAACCATCTATGACTTCTATATGGTTAGGTTTATTTTCTTTTACTAAAGATATATATATATATATATATATATATATATATATATATATATATATATATTAATAAAGACTTTATTAATAAAATAAGTTGAAGCTATTGAATCTAGCAAGATAAAGACTTTGTGATTTTTTGGTCTCAAATAAACTTCTATTATAAAATAAGGTGAAGAATTTGAGAAGAAAATAGATATTACATAAGATTCCAATTGCATGATTTCTATTGTAGTTGAAAAAATTTATTTTTCAATACATCGTCTTCTTTCAAAAAAATTCTCTTCATTTTGTAGTTGCATTGCTTCTTTGGACAATGTTGAGTAGTGTGCTTAGATTTTCCATAATATAAGTATAAATCTTTTTCATAGTATTGAGTTTTTTCTTGCTTATTAAGGAACTTGAAACATATCGTGTTAATTTGCATAGGTTTTGATCTTGATGAATAAGCTTCTATAAACTTAGAGGCCATTGTAATTGGCTTGATTTATACCTCTTCAGTCAAATCTTTGTTCTGCGCATCTTTCAAAGAATTGATTCTTGCATGCAATGACTGGAGTAATAAATTTTGCTAATGTACTCGTTGTTGACATCGTCAATAGTCAATCTTTGATGTTATCTTTTAATCCATATCAAAATTGATTAATAAAAACTTTGTCATTCCAATTTATATTGCAAGTGAGATTTTGGAATTTTGTAGTATATATAGTAGTTAAATATGTTTTTTATCATAACGATACAAGTTTGATCTCTATTATCTTTTTTTAAATTACTTTCTCTAAAAGTGGTTGTAAATACTTCTAAGAATGAATTCAGATCATAAAGAAGACGTAAATATTTTTCCATCAAAGATGCAAATCAAGAGTGAGCACTTCCAAAGAGAAGTGCACCTATAAATCCAACTTCAGTAAATCCATCATGGTATTAAGAAGCTATAACTTTAGATAGTACTTTACATATTATAGAAATCTTCAAAATTTTGATCTTATTCTATCAAACTTCTCAAACATACTTATCATTGCCTCTTTCATACTTGGAGTAGTAAGATTTCTTGGATTTTATTGTAAGCTTGATTTACTTGCTTCTCTTAATTGCCTAACTTCTTGGTATAGACTTTAAACTATATTGTTGTCTTCTTTAATAGGTATTGAAATACTACATTTATAATTGACATTAGAGATATGTTGAATTTTTACCTTTAGAGTATTGATAAGCTTATTAAGATTTGCAATAGTTGAAAATCTATTCTCACTTTTGCCAAGAGTAGCATCCATAATTTTTCTTTTTATATACAGCTCAAATAAGTCTAAAAGTCAAATTAAAATAAAATAATTAACAACTTCTAATATCAAATGAAAGTTTTCATAAAGAAAGATAATCTACTTTCAAAAAGGAAAATAATTAGTATTAGAAAACTAAAAGTGAATTTAAAGATGGATAGTCTGCAATCTTTTAAATACAACAATAAAAGAGGGACAATCCATTCACTTCTAATACAAATACAATGACAAAAAGTTAAGATTCTTATCAAATTGTCATAAATCTCAAAAAACTAAAAGATCAATACACTCTTGTGTTGCTTGAAAAGACTAAAAAATCACTCAAAGTTTAAACTATAATAGCTATTATCAAAGATAAAAAGACTAAAAAGTCTTGAAACAAGACTAAAGACTATAAAAATATTGATAAGAGTGAAGAAGGCTTCATTTATATATATATATATATATATATATATATATATATATATATATTATCCAATTAGAAGCTATATGGCAATGTCTTATAGGACTTCTAACACATGTCCAATTTGCAAGATATATGTCTTAATTTACAAGGCAAGTTTCTTATATGCATACCACATCATTAGCTTGTATCATAAGCTATCCACACATGCTATACATAGCTAACTTGTTGGCCAAGTTTCTAACCTACCAATCAATTATAAACATGTATAAAATCAAATACAAGTCTATAAAGTCTCTAAAAAGCTTTACTACAAGATAATATCAAATCTACTTACATTTACTTTCTATGCAGTATTTTTTATTTAGATAAATATGTATGTCTATAATACACATCCTTCTAAAAATCATTCATCCACTCTTACAAAGTATAAGCTATTATAATAGCTATAATAGCAGATTTAATTTCACCTCTTATAGTTCTTGTTCTAAAGACTATATATTTGTAACAAATAAAACTAGGCAAAGGCTTTTGAATATTATTATACTTCTAAATGGAGAATTCTATGATCTCATCATTTTAATTTTTTTTAATGTAATAAAAATAATAAAATCATGTAATTTCTTCTTAAATAAAAACATATAAAAATAAATATAAGAAATATAAAAATATTAAATTAATAATTATTATCTTAGAATATGAATTTATTAGATATTATTAAATTTTATATTTAAAGCATATATTTAAAGTATATAAAATATTCTTCTACTAATTAGAGAATTTAAATATTTACATGAAAAATATAAACATGCTACAATTAAAATTTTAAGTGAGATTTTTTCTTTAAAATATTTATTTGAAATTCTAAAATGTGTTAAAAGAAAAAATTAAAATAATATCAAAAAAATAAAATCACAAATTATCATAATCTTTGAAAGCAAATTATAAAACCTTGCTTACATTTATATAATTAGCGTAGTGCTGTGCAGAGACTATTATCAACTGGAGCCAAAAAAAAACAAATCTATCTTTGCACAAGGAAGAGACTATTTTTGGCCCCATATCGGCTACTTTTTAAAAAAAATTAAATTCTTTGCATTGCTCCACATTTCTCGACTGAGGCAAGTTTTCTTGACTACCTAATGTTTAGGGCTTCGATGGAATTCATCGCAATGTGTGTACATTCGTTGCCAATTGTGCATTCGTAGTCGGTAGGACTACCACCTCAACGTAGCAGTTATGATTAGTATTACCATTATTATTATCGACGAGCTCCCTTTGAATTCGGTTTCCGCTGCTTGAATCGTGATCTGGATCTTCAGAAGCGCTGTGTCACTCTTCTTCCTTGAGCATGAATCCGGTGTTTCGATCAACTTTGTGGTATTGCAGATCTAACAGTAGGCTGCAATCGACTCATTGGAGTTCTCCTGAATGTCGTGAAATGGAAGTTTTTTTGTCACGGAGCGGATTCGAAGGATAGGTAGAAGAATGCGAATCAGTTGGGATTTCGCAGCTGTCATTAGGGTTCATCTCGTTGATGAAGAAGATGTTTTGTGGGGATTGTTGAAAAGGAAAATTTTCAGGTATTGGATTTGTTTTTAGGGCTGAGGGATACAGAATAAGGAAGAAGAATTTATCGAGGTTGCATTCTGGTTTTTTTAGAGGGAAGGTTTGGGATTGTGAGGAGCTGAAGAGGCCAAGAGACGGAGAGACCGGGTTGGTTTGATGTTGTTTAGTTTTTTGCGGAGATGGCGTGGCAAGGTGTTGGAGGCAAGCACAGGCATGGGCAAGGGCCAGGGCATGTGATGCAGGTAGATGAGGAGAATCCTGAGGATAGCCCCAGTATGAAGGATAGGCAGCGTCGCCGTCGAGCAGCGAGTTTTGATGTGCTACCACTGTATAAAGAATTTGAAGGAATCAAGCGTAAAGTGTATCGCGGGCAGCGACAGAGAATTGCAATGCTGTTTTTGGTGACCGTATTTCTTATAGTTTCTCTTAGGTACTGCTTAAGGTCGGGTCATGGCGTGCCAGCGAGTGAAGCATCTAAAACTGGCAAGAGGAAAGAGAGCAACTTGAATAAACTGGATATGCCAACAAGAATGGTGGCAGGGGTTCGTCAAGGTATGTGGGCTTCTGCTCTTTGAATACATGTAGCTGTTGGTTTTATAGGGTTGAAAAAGTTCCAGAAAAAGAAGTAAATGAATTTATCGATTATGGGTTGTTCCTTTATGCTTCAGAAGGGATAATGGACAAACATACTTACAGGATGTTACAGAGAAGTTTTGGGTTTTTAGAAGTTGAATGTGCTTATACGTGCTGGAAACCCTTGCTTTCCATTTGATCCCTGAGCGGTAATGCGCTCTACTGAAAGAGTGCTAGTTATTGATTGCAGCCTGTTTGAAGCTGCTTCCTGAAAACGAGCTTGAGCAGCTGCAGTTGCCTTCAGCCAGCAATTCGGTAGTCAAGAATTTACGTTATGTTAGCGGAGGTCTAAGCTTTGCTGGAGACCAAACACCCTCAGAGCGGTTGGCTAGCTTTCAGGTCCAAGATACTATGCAGGTACATTGTGGCTGGTGTGCTGGCAATGGGTTTGACATTGATCCTATTGACACAGCATTTATGGAGGCATGTCGCGTGGTAGTAATCACGTGTACTTTTGGGGGTGGTGACAATTTATATCAACCAATTGGCTTTGTTAATGCTACAGCTTCCAAGGTATGTTATGTCGCATTTTGGGATGATGTGACCAAGCAGACACAAGAGGAAGCTGGCAATAGACTAGGACCAGATCGCAAGATAGGGCTATGGCGAGTAGTGCTCGTTCGGAATTTGCCCTTCGCGGACCAACGAAAGAACGGAAAGATACCAAAAATGTTGGGTCATAGATTATTTCCTAATGCACAATTTAGCATCTGGACAGATTCGAAGTCACAGTTTCGGAGGGACCCCTTGGGTGTATTGGAGGCCCTCCTGTGGAAACCCAAAGCAGAATTTGCTATTTCAGCGCATGGGGCACGGAGTTGTGTCTATAAAGAAGCAGTTGCTATAGTGCAAAAGCACAAGGCATTGCCAGAGGAAGTTGACATTCAACTCGAGGCTTATCGTTCAGAGGGTATGCCTAAAGATCTCCGCATTGATGGTCACAAAGCTCTTGCGGAAGCCTCTGTTATTGTGAGGGAACACACGCCAGCCACCAATCTATTCATGTGTGTTTGGTTCAACGAGGTGATGCGATTCACTGCACGTGATCAGCTTAGCTTTCCGTACGTGCTGCACAGATTACCCATATTTCATCTGAATATGTTCCCTGTCTGCACACGTAAAGCCCTTGTGAACAGTATGGGTCATGCACGGAAGGCTGCACCACTGGTCGTGGACGGCTGAGAAGTGACTGGGACATCGAATCATCAGTAGACTTCGAGGTCGAGAGACAGGACGTCGCTAATTGTTAAAGCCACAACCAGATGTGCTGCCGACGTCAGCTCCATCCCAGTTGTGTAAGGACTGTCGTTCAACTGCAACTCTAATGCCTCTCTATGGCCAGGAATTCATGCCAGTAAGTACTAGCTAGGCTGCTGCCTTATAATGATGGTTCCAATTGCGAAACCTCTTTGTTGACTAGAATGACTTGTAGGATCAACTGAGTTAGATGAAGGCAGTGGACTAGTTATTTCTGAAAAGACTCTCGTGACGTCGTTACGGGTTCTTTTTCAGGTCACTAGATTATATTGCTGTAAAATGCATGCAACTTTGTGACGGAAGTGCAGGAACCTTCAAGAGGCGATATCTTTTCTAGCAATATCTAGTTTTCGTTAGAGTAGTCTATTTTTTCGATTCTGAACCAGATGAATCGAGACAGACGAGGCAAATTTTGAAAACAGAGTTAGAATCTGCATCTGGGACAATAGTGTCACCAGTTAGATCCGGACACCATGTGTGGAAGAAAGTCCCTTAGGCTTGTGCCTAGACAAGATCTCGTGGAAGTAGTTACTGCTGTGTATTGCAGCCCATTATTATTCGCTCTCTTCGACAGCCGGTTTTCATTATTTATAATTGGTATTTACATTGTTCTTTAAAATACAAATGTGAGTGTTGAAAGCTGTTATCCCCCAGATATCCCACGTATCTTTTTTCTGCGTAGAGCTTCAGAAATCATTTCGAATATCCAACTGCTGCTTTGTGAAAGTTTTAGGGCTATTGTCAAGTTACCGCATCCTTATTTGGTGGAAAGCACAGGCTGGAGTCGGAGTGATGCTTTGCCTAAATAACTTGGAGATACGGGAAAAGCTTCATCTTGCAGTTGCAGAAACAAGAGTAGTCGATGAAAGGAGAGTAATAATTAGCTTCATTCGAGTTCGCCATATGAGGTATCCACTCACTCACGAGCTTTTTGGTCTGCTGTTCACAAATTAGTAAGGACAATTAATCGGCAACCTCATTCATGTCATAATGACCATCTTGTTTTGTATTTGTTCAATTTGACAACCGTGTTAGATCAAATTGGGACACACCAGGGATATTGAGTGTGAATACGAGTGCAATGATCGTGGAGATAATACCAAGCATGTTCATCATCGAATCAACTCAGGGATGCTGTACGTTGAGATCTGATTGGTATCTAGATAGAAGCACACAGACGGGAATCAATACAGAAACCCCAGATGGAGACCTCAGACCAATCAGCACAGGCAGGGCTAGTTGGAAGCCACCGCCAATTGGGAGGGGTCCGACTTAAATCACACACTAAGATGCGAGGGGTCTTCTTGACATGCAGGTAGAGTAGATTCCCAGAGCCAACACATTGAAAGGAGTAAAACATCCTCCCCTTCCGGTAGAACTCTTTGAAGAGACGCTCCGGCATTGTTTCAACCTCCACCCACTTGGCTGTGGACTCCTGGAGCTCCCATATCCTCACCCCTTCAAAGGTTTGGTCGATTCTCACAGCACCTATGAGCAACAAACGTCCGAAGTGTTCAACCAGGTCACCGTACCACAAGAAGGCTGGCCGTGCGACTGGTACTACCCGCCACTCACCGAGGTCTATGGTATACGCGAGGAGGGCATCAGGAGGACCTGAAGTCATGCAATAGAAAAACCCACTGCAGAATGCAGTTCGAGCAAACGACATTTTGCGAGGTAGGCTTCCTGTCACAGTCCACCTATTAGTACGTGAATCATACACCTCGGTTAGCGCTCCTGATTCGTAGCTGCCAACCGCAATGATCTTGTAGTTACGAGTGGCGGGGTCAACACAAATGCCGAGTACAGGGTCGATGCGATCTTCTTGCCATGGAGGTAAGGTTCTCCACCATTTCGAAAGAGGGTTGCAAACCGACAGGACTTGATCTCCATCGACATATGCTCGAATGCAGAGCAGTCCCCCCGACGCTGCTGTCGGGTACATGAAATCAGGAGGGAGAAAATTTAGCGGCACTTTGTGCCACTTGTTGAAAACAGAGTCATAAGCATGTGACCAGTTTCGGCACCTCCGGTAAGAAAGTATGAACAACCAAGCTTCCCGTGGATGCACTTGCATCCGAATCTCGGAGAAACTGGGTGCACAGAGGCTGGCATACCATCTTTTTGAGACTGTCCGCGACCTAAAATAAGAAGACACGGGTAGATAGGCTTGGATCCGATCCACGACTTCTTCTGGAAGTTCCGGTAGTGCCACTCTTGAGCTCCCATTCCGCATACGATCACGTATTTGCGTGTCATACATGTAGGCCGCTAGACCTAGCCCCACTGGTCCTCCCACAACCCATGTGGTGGTGCTTCCAATGTTCCCCATCACCCTCGGAGCCGAAGGTTTTGATCCCTAATGACATTATTCCAGTCAAATCTTTCAACTATCATCACATACCCCTTAAGAAATCATTGCTGCTTTGCTTTTATTTTACTTTCCCTCAACGGAATTCCGCGCAACTATTTTCAAAATCTGACCTCTTCATAGTGACATTCTAGGCCTTCGTAGGTGACTTCATTCATTGATAGGCCTCGTCGCAGTGTATGATTAGTAGACGACCATCTTAAGCTACCTTAAACTTTGTTCATGATCTTGTGAAGTTAAAATAGGGCAAGTGGTTTAGATCGTAATACAGGGTGGTAGCGACGATCGCAATTCCCAATACTCTTCTCAAGTATGACCTTAAGAGTGGTGTCTCTTAGTTCATCAGCCTGTATCTTAACGAACTGAGAGTATATTGAATTTTATGACTAACTTCGTTTCTCTATACATTCTCCCACGTTGCAAAGGAATAGTTTTAATTCAGCGGATCACAAATGGGAAGACTTGATGAGATAGAGCTTCAAATCTTTCACAAGGTCGAATTCTCAGAACAGAAGGGTATGTGTACGTATAATCCTTCACACATGGATGAGAACCTTTACTGATTGCCTGTCATGTGTTTGTAGTGATCTTCCCTTCAAAGTAACTTATCTTCATTCGTAATTCTCTTCACTTGCTCAACCATCGGCATATCTCGAAATCTTCCACCAGCTGGAACCATGTCAAAACTGTCCTGATTATATGCATGAATTTCTCGTGCTTCACGCGGCATGAGACTTACATTAGCATTATCACCTTAGTCACGTCTATTTCACCAGGTTTTCTGAGAACACAGCCGTTACAGGCTCAGTGGGCATGGATATTTCTCTTGTGGAACCAAGTTTAGGGCTTGCGCATTCCAATAGCTCCGACTCCATGAGCTGTTGCGCGGACATATCAGTGTACAAGAGTGGTGCAAGGCAAAGGAGAGAGAAGGTTCGAAAGGGTGTGACACCTCTAACTCTCACCTGTAGGATCAAGCCACATCATGTGCTGAATAGGCACCTTTGCCACCAATAATTCATTGTTCAGGGGTATGCCCTTACCGTGGAATCACGGTACGGTTTGCAGTTAAAGAACATCCTCATTGCATACTTTCTCGTTCAGGAACTAGAAATTACAAACAATCCGTGATTCATTGCGACTTGATTAACAAGTTGTTTGCATCTCTTCTCCATCCCCTCGTGTTATTCTCTATGAATTGCACCCACTACCACGAGCCTTATGGAACTCACCACGATTTAAAACTTGAATTGTTTATGAATCTTTGAAGAATGTTTCGCAAATCTCAGGATCCTTCAGAATTCCTCAGTCGAAGTTCCCAGGTCTACCTAGTTACATCAGAGTGAGAAGCTGACCCCTTCACTTGCTGACCTCTAGCTGAATAACAAAACTGTCGAATAATTGGAGTAACAAACCCGATCACTATAGACTACTTCTTGGGGTCAGTTGTCTCGCCGCTGGTCTTTTTTTAAGACAGCCAGAGGACGTCGACCTCGGCAAAGATAAAGCTGACGTGCCCAATGTAGCAAGACTAGGTTAAATGAACACCAGTCTCCTGCACACACTGAGATGTAATCGTCAAACAGAGTTACTCCGGCAAGGATGTAATTTCTGGGACCTGCACCAGTCTTGGAACACGATGGGATTCGCGCACGTCCTTACCACCAGATTATGCACTCGAAATGCGTGAATCTGAACACATGGCGATGTAGAAAGAATGACGATGACATCGGCAGTCAAGAGATTCAGGAATTCGGTTTAAATTTGCACCTATCAATATGTTCGCTTCAAGGGACTCTACGGAAGATTTGGAAAAAGCGAGGCCAACTTGCAGCATTGACATCTAAAACCCACTAACGCTCGTCAGCAAACATCTTATACTTGAGACATACACAAAATGGATCATCTGGGTGCTGCCGTCTCGGTCCGCCAGCTATGTTATGGTTTTCAAATATGCTGCCCCGGGAATTGCTCGGGATTTTGCAGATTTTTGGGGCAGTTCACCCCCCGAGCAGTAAGATTTTTAAGAACTTTTCTGCTGGAGGTTTCTCCTAGACAGGTGAGGGTGATTGCGCTGGGTGGCGAGCTCAGCTGTCATCCCAACTCTGCTTTTAGATAGAATATGTAAAATGCCCTGACACCCGGGGCATGAAAGTGCATCTTACCCATCCGAAAGCACTATAGCCCTATTGGTGGTTAAAAAAGCAAACCCTCCTTGCGACAGAGATGATTGCGCTGCTATTTTGAGGGAGGAAAGAGAGGAGCAAAAGGTGGGAGATGATGCAATGGTGCGAGGGCGAGAGTCATTGTAACCAGATCATGATTTATATCCTTGCAGCCATGGCATCTCGTCCAGGCAGGATGCTATTCTCCCATTCTATCGACCCACGTCGTCGGTAATCAATACAGTTTAATCAGCGCTCACTCATGACATTCGAGAGAGAAGGTAGCGAGGAACTCTGTTTTGTGCGAGCTCGTTCCATTGCTGCACCAGCTAGATCCAGACTGGAGACGAAGGATTATTGCGTCTAAGCTTCGTGGGTACACAAATGCCTGGTATCTGGTGAGTAGCGTAGGTTGGACAATGTCGACGGTTTATCATTATTATTATTATTTCCGAGTGGTTTAAGATTGCATCGGGGTCTGTTTGAGGAGTATTCGGAGCTTCTTGTTGTTTTAGAGGTCCTTTTGGTGTCTTAGAATGTCATCGCAAGGCTTCTTCTTTTCCCTTGGGTTTTTTTTGTCTTTTGGCTTTTCTTTTCCTTCTGGTGAACGCACGTGCTTGTTACCTAGGTTACTTCTTGGTTTCTGGTGAGCGGAAGAGCTTCATGTCTAGTTTTGAGCAATGTTTGCTGGGAATGTTGATGAGAATAGCTTCAAGGTGGCGATCCTTATGCCGGCTGGGCCTATGGGGTTGTCACTGGCATAGGTCCCACATTGTTCGCCGGGAATGCGAGCGTGTGATAGAGTGCATTCAAGATGCGTGTTCTGTGACTGAGTGGAATGTGAGTGCATGCTTTGTAGGCTGATGCAGCGTCGCATGGCGAGGAAGCTGGATAGGAGATGATGATGAGCGACAGTATGCAACGATCTGGGCGCCTGGACGAGAGCTGCAAGCGCATGTAACCTGTCTTCACAAAGCTCTGTTTTAATGAATACGCGTCAAAGACGTTGCACATTTTTCGAGAGACGCGCTGGGCTGTGGAATAAGTTGGAACGATCTTTAGTAATAAAGGCTGGCCCTCTGAATTAACTACCGAGACGAAGTGCGGAATGTCATCTCTGCATAAATATCTTAGCGATTGTGCTTAGGATGTATGCTTAGAGTGTTCTGAGGTGAATGTGTCGATCATGCAATGGCTTGCCCGGAATTGCTGCAAAGTTTGGAAGTTCAGGAAAACAATGCGGAGGAATTTCTCAAGTTATATCAGTGCTCCATTGATGTGTTCGATCAAGGTTTATTTAACGGCGACTGTAGCTTGATGCAGGGTGAAATGGCCACCAGGTTCAATGCGGAGATGGGAGTGGGTTGCTGCTGTGCAACCAGCTGTTCAGCTATGGGGCGAGGCATACGTTGGGCTTGTGTATTGGACGGGTCTCGTGGAATTTGTGCGGAACTTGTACTGGTTCCAATTGAAGAATGGTGGATTGACGAAGGAAATTGCACTTGTGGCTTACCTCTTCACTCCACCGGTGGTGCTTTCACATCCAGTGTGGCGCGCACACGTAACCCTGCACATATGGTCGAGACCACTCTTATTGCTCTGTGGGCTTGTTGGAATTGGCGGTCAGTTCTTTTGGGGGCCTCTAATGCGGCTTGCCTTTTCGGGCACAACGGTGGGAATCCTTGGAATTTATGTCATCGATAGCTTGTGGGCGGTTTCGCGAGCTCGCCGGCGTCGTGCAGCATTTGGAATGATTGGTGGAATCCTTCTTCTCCAGGTGGGATTTCGCAACTCGAAAGAAGCAAACTTCAGATTGTTGACATTCTGGGCTATAATAGTTTCCTCCATTTTTGCTGAAGTAGGATTCGCTGTTCCGAAATTACGTTTTCAAATGGTGGGGTTGATAATCGTGCGGAAACCTTGTAGGTTATTAAGATTAAGTTGTCGTAGCTTTTGACCCTCCTCGAATTTCGGTCAGGTGCTGCGCTGGGTGAACTGTGGATTAAATCCTCTTGTATCACGATGGTGGGGTTTCTTCCTGTTGGGTGTTATTCCGGGAGCTGGAACAGCCCTTCTGTTGCTCACTGAGGATGTGTTTCAGTTGGAGGCGGAAACTTGGGAAGATGAACCCACTGACAACCTTGACTCAAGTTCAGATGATGATCACACGGATGACACAGAGGGGATAAATCTTCTAGCCGTAAACAGACCCGAAGTTGACAGCCATGATGCTGTTGATCTGGAAAGCAACAGCAGGCTCCCGAGAGAGCTCCGAACTCTTATCCAGGAGCATCGTGAAAGCCAAGATTCACCGCGTTCATCACCAAGGTCGACGCCGAGAGCGTCCCCCAGGCATGTAAGCATAGATCGAGGGGGTCTACGGGACATGATCAGTAGCTCAGCGAGAATGGGAAATCACAAACATGTGATTAGTCCTCTCCGCAGTGATAGCCCTCTCAGAATGAGCGAAGGCCTTCACGTGATTGATGACGGGGATGTGCGGCGCTGGAAAGAAGGCGAAGAGGTCCCGTGGGTGAAAGAGGGGTATGCCGACACAGACAGCGATGTCGATGATGAAACGTTCCGGCAGCGCAGGTGGAAGTTTAAACCAAGCGTAGCATTACGTACACTGCAGATAGGTTTAGGCTCTGGGTGCTTATGGTTCCTAACTCATTGGCTTTTTACAGCCCCAACGACCATGGCGCGGTGGCTAGGTGTGTCTGTCACCTGGGGAGGGCCACTTGTCATTTGTACTCTTGGGTTGGGCATGGCCATTGCAGCAGAGGCAGCGCGGTCCATGTGGCTGAAGCGAGTACACGGGCTTTTGGCATGGATAGTTGCACTGGTCGGAGCTCTGATGATGTTGTGGAGTACTCCATGTGCATTAACTGGAGTCGTTTTCCTGGTGTCGATGCTACCATCGATGTGGGTCATGATGGCCCGAAATATTGTTGGTGTGTACCCAGGACTCGGCTTAGCATTGAGTTCCGCGATCTATGTGGGCCTTGTACTCTGGAGCACGGCGCTTGTTGCGTACGAGTTCATACCAGGCTTTATGGCTGTGCGGGGAACTAGGGGTTTCTTGCTAGTTCTCTCTGTTGCTGGCATAGGACTTGGACTTGGCAGAGGCCCTGAAGTCGCAAATTCGGAGCGCCGGAGTCTTGGGGCTAGACTGGGTACTGGGCGGATTTCTTGGGGTAACGGTGTACCAGGACGGCAGGTACTAAAACATCTCTTTATTTGTCACACAATTACTCTGGTCACCTCATGAGGCCTGTTAAGTCGCCATATGATTCTTCCCAAGAGTATCAACTCTCGGATGTCTCGCTTCACTTTGTGTTTGATATAGTTGCTCGGCATGCAAGCTTCGTAGATTTATCACAGATCATGCATTGACTCGTGCAGGCAATAGGATGTTTGGTGGTTGCGATCGGAATTATGACGGTTGTTGGGTTGACCATGCGCTTACATCCTGGGCCGGCATGGAGAGGTGTTAATCCTGAACTGCGGGTGCTCAACTTCAACATACAGCAAGGATTCAGTAGAAGTGGCAGTGTCAATTATGACTCAATTTATAACATGCTTGACGTTGAGCGACCCCACATTACGACGTTCGCCCCTTCCTTTTTCCTATCTAATTTTGAAATGCATTTCTCCAATATTTTTGGTTATTTCAATGAGCCAATTTCTCAATTGTGACGCATGTTGACGTCATAAAAGTTGATATATTTTTGTGACAAATTGTGTGAATCGTGTGCCAGGTTACAGGAGACGGACACTATGCACATCGTTCATGGAAATTTAGACTTGGTACGAATTAGAGTTCTCTACAATCCCTCTACATGTTTGATGTTTTCCCTCTGAGGGATTACGATGCAATCATGAGCTTTAAATAATCACATTAGACTTAGGAGTGGCAATCTGACACTCTGTTTTTTTTCTGACAACAGGTTGATTTCTGGGCAACGAAGCTCAAACTGTATAGCTGGTATGCACCAGCTACAAAAGCAGATACGTGGGGATGTGCAATTTTGTCAACTCAAAAACTGGTACATGGCCAGTCACAGGTCCTACCTTCTCCGCATGGAGAAAATGCCTGCTTTCAGCAAGCAGATCTTCAGTTCCAGGGAAAATCCATACAAATCATGAATACCCATTTTGGAGTGCTTTCCTCTGATATTAAACTACAAGCAGCTGCCATTGCGAGTGTGGTGAATTTGACAAGACCGTTAGTACTTTCGGGCGATTTTAATATGGCACCTTTGACGGATGCATACAACACAACAGTGGCTTCTGGAATCCTAGACAGTTATGTGGTACAGAATGGACCTTGGAAGAGTCCTGGAGATAGAGACCCAGGGGCAGGGCTGGTTTTTTCTTCACCAAAACTCAAATGTGTATCATGGAAGGAGCCCTACTATGACCAGACGAAGACTTCCGATGGGTATCCAATTGTGGCTACATTTGACTTCGTGTAGGTTTCAAACGGCACATTTCAAGTCGATGAAACTTGGTCACATAGATGTATCATAATATCGGGAGGTCAGGTTGAAGCTTGCCTGCTACTGCACTTGGGGACGTGGATACAATACAACCCCTTTTCATTTCTAGTGTACAATGCCAGTCTGTATTGCAGTGCAGAATTTAGCAGGTTGATAACTTTGGGTTCTGTAATCATTGAATTCCTTTTGAGCTAAGATGCCCAATATTTCTGCCAAGGTTAGATGGCAGATCCATTTCAATTTTTGCGTCAGGGCAGTACGAAAAACAAAATTAGTTGCCGGTGATATGTCACGTTTATAGATTGAATTAAGATGCAACAATTTATGGAATCCCTATTTTTTGAACAATTGCTGTACTGGATGAGAATATTTTAATTATGTATTGTGGAATTTTTTAAACCTATCCTCCTTTATTGGCTACAGAGGTAGTTTTTGCGTACTTGAGTGTAGCATGACAGTCTGTACAGTTTTCGGTTTGTCAGAACTCTATTTCTGATATTTTCTTGAGAACTCCGCTGTTATTATGCTTGTCCAGTGAACTACTGCAACAATCGAGTGAAGTACTTACTAGGTGAGCAAAAATTAACTACATTGAGGCATTGTCCATTACTACCTTTCAGGGTTGCACATCCACTCTGAATGTGCAAGAGATTTCGTACTCTGAAATGAACAACCATATTCTCACAAATAAATACTTGTCCACCGGAAACGCATTAACTGGGGAGCTCCTAAAGTTCATACCAGTCCAAAAAAATGATTAGTCAACGAGGTAATAAAGGGATTCAGCAGCTCTTTAACGCTGGTGACTTTTCAGTTGCAAAGAATGGGTCATAAGTCAAATAAAAACAATAAATAGTTGTATTCTGAAGTTTAAATTTGGGGTCTTATTTAAATGAATGCAATCTGGAATAAAATATGCAATACTCATTAATAATTACTGAAAATCCGTTAAAACATCTACGGTTCTGCTTGATTTCAAGGACCACATCTTAGTTGTACACAGCAACATGGTTGAGTACCGTCACCGGAACTAACCAGAGCAGAGTCTATTCCGAGAGGCTACAAGCGATAATTGAGCGCATACTCGGGATGCTCTGACGTTTTCCTGGAACAACTGAAGGCCCATAGGTCGAATGCATCAAATCCGATCTAGACTGAGGCTCCAGTGCAGTTCAGTATTCATACCGGGTCGGTCACATCCGATGCTGATTACAGGAAAGGGAGCATGAGAAGCTCTTACCTGGTGTGTGTCAGCATTTGAGAGATGTTAATAACCAGCCGAAGGGTGATGTTTGAACGTTCTGTCTATGCAAAGTGGCATGGTTACAGAGGGTGGATGTCCGAAACTATGTCATTAGACCGACTTATTTGCGAAAACATGTGGTGGAGGGGGGAGCATTGCCAAATGGCGCACGTTCTTCACAGCTATGGCAGGGACTTTTTACAGGGATCGGTACGAGCCTTTCATCCCACGCTCCACCGTAACGTGTCCCATTTTACAAACCATCAGTTGACAATCGGCACATCATCCTTCATCCCCCCACCGAATCCACAAACCTAACAAGAGAAATCGTTTTCGACCTCCTGCAAACCTCTGATTGACATCGTTCTGCCACTCTAAGCACTTGAAAGTAACGTAAAAGGCATATTCAAAACAATGAAAGAACAGTAGAGGTTGACGGCAAGCTTTTGCCAGTGAAAAGGCAAAAAGCTCCGAATCGTCCAGCAGTGTTCTCCTTGGTTCGGAAAAGCATCAATGCAAACTTGGTCGCAGCACTGGTATATAAATGGCTGGCTACAGACGAGCCCTAAAATGGTGACGGAGTTGCCGGAAAAAATCCACGTGACAAGAGCGGAAGACAGTCGAGCTTCAATGACGAAGATGCCATGTCGACAACGAGCAACGTCGAACTGCGCCACGGCGTCGTCGCGGCATCGGATCTCATCGACAGCTTCGACATCGCTCTCGAAACACTGTGGTGCCTTAAAAATAAACCCCAAAAATACCCTAAAAACGCCATCGAATAAGCCGCTATACATATTGAACTGCCATGCTGGAAAATCCTCCTTCTTGTTATTTTGTAAATTTTTATAATTTTATTGGGTAGTGAGTGTGTTTCTAAAAATTACATTGTGTAAAATTTGATACTATAGATTTGATAAAACACTAAAAACTCATCAGCTGTTTTGGATCCACCGTGTGATAACTTCAACTTTTGCATACACGCTTTTTTGTGTAGTCTTAATTGTCCGTGTATGATTCTTGTCTTTTGCAAAAAAATCTAATCGAGGTATCAAACTGTAGTCAAAAAAATAATTATGATAAAAACTAAAAAGTAAAACTTCACATATATTTACATTGAATAACGAAGGAAGATAACATAAAACGTGATAGCATAGAGACAAAGTATCATTTGCTACATTCACATTGTAGTGTGTAAAACAACCTCTTCTTGAGGAGAAACTTCTGCTTCTCATTCAATTTGTACCTAAGTTCTCCTGAAGCAAATATATATATCTATATATATATATATATATATATATGTAGCATGAGCTGGTTATGGTTGATTATTATATTTTTTGACAAAATAAAAAAAAATCTTCTCCTCATTAAATTACTTTGTAAATACGTACATCAAATAATTCAATGCTTATAAATATAAAAAAAAGTAAAAATAAATAAATATATATATATATATATATATATGTATATACATACAACTTAAGAAGTTCAAATTAAAAATAAAAATAAAATATAAAATAAAATGTTTTTATAGATCATTTCGAAATAATATTGTGTTTGAAAATTTTGAAAGTTTAAGTAAACGTTCAAAGTTTAAAACCAGGTTAGTGGTTAAGAATAAAATTACTATTTCATTTTTAACAATACATATTATTATATTATTTTTTGGTTGATTTTTCATTCATAATAATATTTTTCGAGTATTTTATATATAGATAATATATATGTATATATATATATATATATATATATGCTTCAGGAGAAACTTCTGCTTCTCATTCAATTTTAAGTTGTTGACTTTTTCAAAAATTTACAATTTTTTTATAAGGTAAATAAAAGTAGAAGTACTAGATTTTTTTATTATTAATATTTCAATGCATAATTTTAAAAAATTATAATTTGATATTTTATTATTTTATAAATTGTAAAAAGTATAAATATATATTTATCAAACTTCTTAATCACGTTAAAGATAAATCTTAATGTATAGTTGTATTTTGTTATAAAATTTACAAAAAGATTATTTTTTAAATAAAAAATATATGATTTATGTTTATAAAATCATATATTTTTTTATTAATAAAAATTATATTGAATATAATCTGTTAAATTTTTAAAATTTCATCTTTTACTATTTTACATGGAAGATTAAATTTTGAATGGTGAAAGCAATAGATAAATCTTAGACTAGAATGAAAACATTTCTTGTGTAGTTTAGAATGACTATTTTTTTATAAGCTATAAATATATAATTTAATTTTAGAATGTAAAATTCAAATTTACTATATATAAATTATAATATATAATTATTAACTTACTACAGTTTTAAAGATGTATTTGGATTATAATTATATTCTAGTAGAGAAGGTTCGTGTCAACCAATCTATTTTAATATGGTCCACTACTATATGAAGTACGCGTTGTAGTTTGATAATAGAAATTGTAAACAAATATTAGAATATTGTCCATTTATTTTTGTTAGATTTGAATATTGATATTACTTTTAATCATGAAATAATTATTTTAAGCATGCACTCTAAAGATTTGAATAAAAATATCTATGGTAAGGTTGAAAGAAATGCTTAAGTGTCTAATCTTCACTAATTTGAAAACTAATAGACACTTTTTAAAGAAAAATGCTCAAATAATCATCTTTTCTTCACTAGTTATTTTCTATAATAAAAATCTATTTTACTTAATCTATAACAAAAATCTTAAGTAAATAAAAGCACATAGAAATAAATTGGATAATAACATTGTCATGAAAAAAAGTTAGGGAAGCTTTATAGATTTGGATTGAATCTATAATTGTGCAAAAAGATTATATATATATATATATATATATATATATATATATATATATTATAGAAATTTTTTATCTTTAAGTAGCTACTATAGAAGCATTATGTAGTTCAAAAAATTAGTTTAAAATCCTTGTGGTCGTCAAAAACTTCAAAATGACCTTCTTACAAGCTAATATGTATAAAATTAAGATTAGAGCTTATTCTACTTTATTAGCATCCTTCTTATATTCTAATATAGAATAAATACTCTTTATTTTCTTTGCATTTAGAATTACCTATTCTAATATCATTCTATTAATTATGTATATATATATATATATATATATATATATATATATATATATATCTATTAGAAAAAATCTATTTAGCTTGCTAAATGATTGTATCATTGATTTAAGGTTATTGCAACTAAAATCATTGATACTTGCATATAATAGAAATATTTTTATGATGAAAATGTATTATAAAAAATTATCAAAAAGTATTGTAATCTTTAAAAGTTTTATATTATTATTTTGGTAGATTTTTTTTTTTTTTTTTTTTTTTTTTAAACCATCTCAATAATTTAAATTGATGAGTGAACATACATAAATAAATCAAGGTTATTGAATCAATTAATTATAATTTTATGTGATTTTTTTTTAATTATTCAAAAAATATAAGTTTATACACAATATATATAGAGGATGTATTAAATAAAAAGATTGAAGGCAAGAAGGTTGCAAAGGGATAGTGAACTGAGGAGATGGGAGATATGTAGAACAATGGAATCAAAGAATGGAGTTGGAAACTCAGACTGAGAATGGAGAAGGATGGAATAGAAAACATGGTTGGAATGTATAAATATTATTTTGAAATACATAAATAGTTGTACATTGGAATGCATAAACAGTTGTATATTGGAATGTATAAATAATTAAACATTAGAATGTATAAACAACTATATATTAGAATGTATAAGCAGTTATACATTGGAATGCATAAATAGTTGTACATTCAAATGCATAATCAGTTGCACATTCGAATGCATAAAATGTTGTATATTGGAATACATAAATAGTTGTATATTGGAACGTATAAACAATTGTACATTGGAATATAAAAACAATTATATATTGAAATGTATAAACAATTGTATATTAGAATGTATAAAAAGTTGTACATTAAAAATCATAAATATTTGTATATTGGTATGCATAAACAATTGTACATTAAAATGCATAAAATGTTGTATATTGGAATGCATAAACAGTTGTATATTGGAATGCATAAATAGTTGTATATTGGAATGCATAAATAGTTGTACATTGGAATGCATAAATAGTTGTATATTAGAATGCATAAATAGTTGTATAT